CGGGGGGAGCAAGGCCAGGAGCCGAGCGCGGCTCTTTACAGCTCCTCTCCACGTGAAGTTTCTGCATCTGCCTGTACTTGGGGATGTGCGCGCTTCGTGAAAACCGAGGCACAAAGACACGCTCCTTCCCCTAGGCTTTGGCAGCAAACCTGCGCTGTACACATTGCCCTCACGTACCCCTTTAACAAATGCTAGTTAGACATTAAAGAAAGAATTGCATAATACAGCTACAATGTAAAGACATTTTTACATTTATTACTGAACTTACTGTGTGTCTCTACTGTGTGCCTTTTTCTGTAAATATGGCATATCCTTGATATGGGACCTTCTTAAACTCTAAAATAAACCGCAAACCCTTCACTGACAGCCCAAGCTCTGATGGTTGAAGGGGGTGGAAGTGATTTTTGTTTTCCCACTTGTCCTCTCACCCAGCAATGCCAGTGATGTAACCAGACGGCTCTCGCACATCCTATGCCACTGTTTTCTCCCTCAGTTGCAAGTATTTAATTCCATATTATCCAACCATGGGCCTCTTGATGCCAAAACCGGGGGCAGGGCTGTCAGTGATGGTCAGATTTGCAGTGGCACACGCACTACCAGCTGCATCTGAGCTGCATTTTTACGCAGGACAGGACATGCAGAGTTAATATGAAGCCTTTCCAGCGGCATCCCATAGTGTACCCGAGCTGCACAAACACTGCTATGGATTAGGGACTACTGCAGAAGCAAGCCTGGAACGAAGGCAGGCATCGGGAAGCCGAGACCCAGGTCTTCCCAGCAGCATGAACGTGTCTCCCATAAATTCTAGGCTGTTGCGGGCATGTCTCACACAGGGACAAGGTTTTTACCTTCAGCAAGCTTCACTTTGGAAAATTCCTAACTGATACGTTGTGCTTCATATCACAACTTTAATAACATTCGCAGGGCTAGCAGAAATTGGAATCAAACTCCAAGCGTAAGACCCAAAGCTCCGTGGAGCCACAGTTTAAATTACCGAGGCCCAAGAAGGTAGCACAGGCATTTAGCACTCCTCATCGTCATCAGGATGCCCAGCTTCAAACGATGCCAGAAGGCAGCGGGCACCCACGACAGCTTTAGGAATGGGGCCTCTTGCATTGCTGAAGACATCGTTCTGAGCAGCACCTTACGGTACTGGCTTTGCTATCACAGATCTGGGCGCTTCGAACCTCAATTGGGAAGCAACAGCCTCGAACATCGTGAGGATACCTGATCTCTCCCCTGCTTGCCATGTGGGCAGACACAGGACGTTTCTGCTCCGTGTCCCATTCCCGGCACCCCTCCCGTTCCCAGTCAGGGACACCCACTGCTGGGGGGTGAAGGGAGGTCTGGGGTGCACCAAGGGGACCGTGTGGGGACTGTGAGGTGATGAAGGAAGGAAGGAAGGAAGGAAGGAAGGAAGGAAGGAAGGAAGGAAGGAAGGAAGGAAGGAAGGAAGGAAGGAAGGAAGGAAGGAAGGAAGGAAGCTGGAGGGCACTAATTTCTTTGCTGGCCCTCACAGGCACCACTCGCTTTGGACTGGGGTGCGTGTCCCTCTCTGCAGGTGGCCTTTCCACAGGCACCTGGGTCCTGGCTGAAGGGGTGCTGTGGGCATGCGTGCAGCTGGAGGAGACCGTTCTGGTGGCCGTGTAAGGGGTGCAATTAGGGCACCCCTTCCTCCTTCTCCCTTCTCCCAACCTCTTTCCCCTTCCCCTTCCCTGCTTCCCTTTCTCTGTGGTGTCCGGGGCTCCTGGCAGCAGCCCAGGAAGGCGCAGGGCTGTCCTGGTCCCCGTGGGGCCAGGGGCTGCCCTTCACCCATCCATCCACCCGTCCATCCATTCTTCCATCCATCCATCCACCCATCCATCCATCCATCCATCCGTCCATCCATCCGTCCATCCCGCTGCTCTCCCGGGCTTCTATTCCCTTCCCTCCTTTTTCATCTTTAAACTCGTAGTTAAAAGCCAGCCCTGTCTCCGAGCTTTGCCATGCTCTGAACCCGAGGGAGGTGACGGTGGGACTTGAGAGGGTTGGAGTGATGGGATGGACCAAATACAGTCAAAGTTGGGTTGGCTTCCTCCCCACCTTCCCCCCCCCCAGTTCAAAATCAGGAATTACTGCCGGAGGAGCAGATACTCCGTTTTACTGGCTCCCAAAAAAAAAAAAAAGTTTTCAAAGACTAATTTCCACCAGATACATTTATTTTCCGTTGAAAGCTGAATTAAAACAATACGCGCGAGTAGGTGCCGTTAAACCCAAGCCGTCTTTTGCTGTTCATCACAGGACAGAAAGATTAGAAAAGTCAGTGAAAGAGCACTGTGTTTTCAACGCAAAAACCCAGATTTTAGGAGGAGTAGGCTCAGAGGAGGAGGACTGAAGCCGCCCCAAAAACAGGGGGGGGACCCTTCATAAGAGTGAAAATTCAGTGTCAGGTTACTGCTCGATATTGCAGGGAACGCGCCGTTCCTGGAAGGGATTTTGTGGTTGTGAAATGCACCCCTCGCTAAAAAACCGTTTGATGCTTGTGTCGAAGAGGAAACCAAAACAATCTTTGCCTTTTAAGCCCCGATTTCAAAACAAAACCAAAAGAAAAGAGAGAGGGGAGGGAAAAAAAAGCCACCACCACCACCACAAAAAAAAAATCCCTCTAAATTTCAGAGTGCGGCTTTGAACAGCTTTCCTGGCGACGTTTACTTCAAACCTCGGAGGCGGAGTGCCCCTGTGTTCCCGAGGTCCCCCTGCCCTCCCTTCCCCCGTTTCTGCTGCTTGGATGGCAGGTTCAGAAGCAAATGCCCTGCCAAATAATTGCTAGAATTTGAAAAAAAAAAAGGGGGGGAAAAAAAAAAGGAGGAAAAAAAAACCTAGAAGAGAAAATGCGCACCAGCATTCAGGTGCTAACCTACTTATTTGAAAGTAATTTATTTTCCATTTTGCCCGTTTTCCCCCTTTAAAACAGAACGCTGAAAGAAAGAATAAGTGCTTTAACATTTCAATGTTGTGCTCCGGTAATTACTTTTTCACTTTTCCCCTAAGTTCCAATGTGAAAACCTCACAGGGGGGTCTTTGCTGCAGCAGGGCTACAGTTCCCAATCCCAAGCGCGAGATCTGCAATTACAAACCCATTCGGTGCCCTGCCCTGTCATTAATATGCACAAAATCCCGCTGCTAATCTTATAATCTGTTTTGTTTCATCAATTGCTCGCCTAGCACCAGGCGGGAAAGAAAAAGAGAGAAAGGAAAAGAAAGAAAGAGAGAGGAGCAGAATAAAGCCGGCAAAACCGCGGAAAGCTTCCCGAAGTAAACGAAAAAACCCCAAATAAATCGGATTTTATTTCTGACGAAGCGAAAACCGTTAAGGCTGTTAAACGGCTGGCGGATTTTCCGCGGGGGGAGGGGAAGGGGGGGCTGC